GTGCACTTTATATATCAACACGTTGCACTTTTTAAAACATAACGTTGCACTTTGTAAATCAACACATTGCATTTTATCATGACATTCCACAATTAATGTCGATAACTCCCACAAAATACCGCACAAATACATCTAAAAAAAATAGAACGACATAATATTTAGTATATTTTGTTATATTTTGTTAGCACATATATTTTAGGTCTTTAACAAAAACAAAATAAAAATCTATATGGGTATATGTATATATATAAATATAATGATAAAATGTTAAATATATTTTTATAATATAAATAAAAAATCATTGTGATTAATTGTGGTATTTTGATTAACTGATAGAATAAATCGATTATGTCGGTCCATTTTTAATTTGGTTCAATGTGAATCATAAAAAATGAATACAATGTGAGTGCACAATATTATTAGACGAGATGCACATTTATGACTATCAATTACATAATAGCTACTGAAACCGAATAAATTAATTTTTTTTATTTAAAATTTTATATTTTAGTTCGATTAGTTATATTTATTTTTAAAATCGCAACTATTTTAGTTCGATGTCGGCTTTATTTTTTTAAGATAACCAAAATAACTTAAATGGCCGTATTATATGAAATATATTATTATTTTATATATTTTCAAGTATTGTGAGTGCACATTAAGGTTATACGCATTACACATTACTGATAATTGGATTGCACAATATCGAATATTTTCCACCAAACTAATAATTTTATTTCAATTTTTTTAAATCTCGTTTCAATTGCCATTTTTTTTGTTTTTAAAAATTTGATTATGCCGGTTTGATATCTTTTTTTTTTATTTAGAAAACCGAACAACCGCACTATATAAAAAAATATTAATTTTATTATTATATTTTTAATGTAAAGAGTTATTATTTTCCAGCCACAAATCAAACAAGCAAACAAAAAATACGTCTACATAATAACTACAATATTATATATTTATTCATTTAATTATTGTTATTATTGACAATTGGGTACAAATTATGCATATGGAATATAACGGCCACAAGGCCCACAACCTACCAAACAACATTTAATTTCATATTAAATTATTGGTTATGACTTTTCAAGAAATAATTTTCTAGTTTTTTTATTAAATGTGCCAGTATTATGCAGCATACAATGAATAGTGGGTGGGATTCAAAAGGGTGGGCTACTTTGAATCGTGCGCCTGAACATTAAGGGGGTGATTGGATATAAATTCAACTAGTAAAAAACTAGTTTTTTTTGAACTATAGTTAAGTTTGAAAAAAAATAGTATGGTTAGTTGTTAGTGGATATATTAAAATAATATTTAAAGTAAAATAAATAAAGTTGATTTGATGTAAAAGTAAGAAAAAATGATTGGAAATGATAGTTAGTTAAAATTATGTGAGTGGGTGAATAGTGAATTAAAATTGATGTGATGTATAAGAATGATTGGTTGATATTATTTAATTATATTGATAATATTAGAGATAGTGGAGTTGAGTTAAAGTTGAGTTAAATTTGAGTTTTGAGTGGGATATTTACTGTAGAAATTATATACAATCATGCCCTAAATGTAAATATTTAAATCTTAATAAAATTTGATTAAATACAAATTAGCACATATGCCCCTAAAACTTTTCAAATTTACAAAAATAAGGCCCTATCATAAATCTGAAAATCAATCCACTGTTCTTGCCCAGGCCGTCGTCGAGGAACTTACCCTGCGGCCACCGGAAGACCTCACACTGTCCGGCGACCATCTTTCCGATGTCAGACGCCTCCATCATCGGATACTTTGATTTCACCAACCAAAAATATTTTCATGACTTACTCTCCGCTGCCGACATGATGGCACTCGCTGTGACGGCCAAAGTGGAACTAGACTGGCTAGTGGCCGCGCCTGACCGGAGTGACGTCGGGTCTGGTGGCCGTGAATGTCATCGTGGAGCTCGACGGGACCGTTTCAGCGGCGGAGATGATAACAGCGGCGACGGGACGGGCCGGGAAGACGGCGGCGACGGACTGAAACTGCGACGAGGTTGAGACCTAGTGTGTGCAGTGGTCAAGTTGGGGTCCAACTGAAGACGGAAGCTGCGTCGATTGGTCCGGCGGAGGTCGGGTATGCCGAGGAATTAGGCGGTGGCGACTTCGCCGGCGCCCTAGATGTAGGGGATGTGTGCGTGCGTCGTTTATGTGTATGTGTGATGTGTGTGTGTTTGTGTGAGTGATGCAGAGCATATGTGCGTGATTGTGTGTGTGCTTTGATTGCGTGTGTGTGAGAGAGAGAAACGTGTGTGTTTGTGTGAGTGATGCAGAGCATATGTGCGTGATTGTGTGTGTGCTTTGATTGCGTGTGTGTGAGAGAGAAACGTGTGTGTGTGTGAGGGAGATAGGTGAGACGATGACGGTGAGTGGGTTTTGGGTGGGTCCCACTTGCAAGTGAAATTGTGATAAATGACATATTTATCCTTATTAAGTGGTCAAATACATATATTTGACCATAATATGTCCATTTATTTACTGTAATGCTATCCCATGTTCGACTGCTATTATTAATATTTGACTTGATCATAGTCATTGACTTGATCAATCCAATGGTCCATGATCATTCTTATTTCTTTCATTATCTACCATTCTCATATGTTCCATTCTCTCTCTCTCTCTCTCTCTATATATATATATATATATATATATATATATATACTAATACAAATATATCATTACATAAACCCTTATAAGTATATGTTGCCGAATATAATTTTCTATATTATAATTCAATTTATGAATAAATATATAATAAATATGATGTATAAAAATAAAATAATATATTTTTAAATTATATATAAATGCTTTTTTTAGTTTTATTTTTATATAAATATTTAATATATCTAATTAAACAATAAATCAAAGTAAGTTTTCAAATTTTTTATTTGAATTTTATTTTTGAAAATAATTTTATTTAATATATTTTAATCATGATTTATAATATATATTATATATTTATTTTTTATAATTATTGTTAATTTTATTTTTTGAAAAAATGATTCCTACAAACATGAGAATGAGAAAATATTTCATTAATTATGGAATGGCTAATCCCATGAATATGAATTTTGCCATTCCTATTTGAATGGTAATTCCTTTCCAAAAATATATCCATCATGAGATAATGAATGAGTAAGAAAATGATCATTCAATTTCCATGTCATTACTTGTGACGTAAAATTATCCCAACCGTCAATCAATCACGTATAACAAATACAAGTTTATATTTAGGCAAAATTGCACCTCACATCATGACTTTATCGACTTTTGCACTTCTGTCACGACTTTTGGACCTTGGCACTTCGATACCCAACCTTTGAGTTTTTTGCAAGACCAAGCATTGACTAACTCGCCGGCCGACTGATGCCATCCTGTCCGGCAACTTAATACAACGTGGCAACTGACGTGGATTATATTACACGCCAAATCGGACGACAACGTTTCCATAAAATCAAAACACTAAAAATCCTAAATTCAAAACCAATTGCCTGATCCCTAAAATTCACTTTCCAAAATCAAAACCCTAAACTCCTTAAATTTTTATTCAAATCCCAATTGCCCGATCCAAAACTCTCGACCACTTACCAGAATCCCAATGGCGAGTAGCTCGACGAATAGTGGACCTTCCAGAGGGAGTGCAACCAATGCAAAAATCCATTGTTATCATGGACTTGAGGCCGATTTGATGACCTCGCACACTGAAAGAAATCCGAATCGAAGATACTATCGTTTCTCACTTCAAAACGTAAGAGTTTTCAACTGCCGACAACATCAATTCATTTTTATTTAAATTTTTGCACTTGTTCTTCACGTTTTTTTTTTTTTAATTTTGATTATTTTCGTTGGATTTAGTCAAATGATTGTAGGTTCTTTTTATGGTTTGATCCTGACATGACACCCTTCCAAAAGGCTGATTTCCTAAAGCTGAAGAATGAAAAAAAAAGTTTTGGGAGAAGATTTTAAATGCAAAGAAGAGGAGTTGGAAGTGATAATGTCAAGATTGGAAACGATGACTATAGAGTTGTCAGAGCTGAAAATGAAACATGCTAAATTGGAGGAATTAATCGACTCAATCCTTAAGAAGGAAAACAAATTTCCAACTGCATTGGTTATGTTCATGTTGGCATGTTTTTTTCTTGTGTTAATGTTGAAGTAGAATTTCCTAAGAAGTAATGGTTCTGTTGAGGAGGTTGATGAATTATTTTGGGTCATGATTATGAATTATGTTGATGAATTATGAATTTTCAACTGCATTGTGTTAATGTTCATGATGAATTATGTTGATGAATTATGAATTTCCTAAGATGTGGTGTTGTGACAGTGTATTCTTGATGTGTTGGGGAAGTGTTGGTTTTATATTGGTGCAATGTGTATGCTTAATGTTAAGAGAAAGTATATTCAAGAAATTTTGTGTTGAAAGTTTGTTCTAGCTAAGAAGTGCAGTGTGTAAATTTGTGCAATTTGACTAAATTTTAATGAAGAAGTGCACTGTGTAAATTTGTTTTGGTTGATGCAATTTGGGTAAATTTTGTGCATTGAAGATGCTCAAGATATACTTATGTTGGAAGAACAATCAATATGACCACTGTACATACAATACTGATTAATGAAGACCACCAGCACCAACAATCCAACCTATACTTATGTGATTTCTAATCAAACCAATAACCATAATCTTTGTCAAACTAATACCAAGAACAACCAATAATGAAGAACACCAAAAATTCCAACACATTCAATTTCAGAAATTCAACTAAAACCAACAAAAACATATGTTCAACAACCAACCAAAACCAACCAAAATACTTGTTCCTACTGTTAACAAACAACATCTTTTCACCAATTCAACCAAAACCAACATCTGTTCAACAATCCAACAAAAACCAACAATCATTGTTACACACTTCCTACCAAAACCTAATATTTGTCCAACAATCCCATTAAGAATGCAGAAAACTAATTTGCTGCACTCTCTTGAGTGCCAGTGGTATGACCCATTCCTCTTTGACCTCTTCCTCTTTGAACCCTCCCTCTCTGACCTCTGCCACTGCCATAGCCACTGCCACTGCCACTGCGGTTGGCACTGCCGTTGCTCCCACCTCTAGATGATGATCCTCCACGAACAAGATGAACCATTTTCTCAGTGGACATCTGTTGAAACAAGTGTAAATATGAGCAAAGAAACAATAAAACATGACTTTAATATCAAAGTTGCAAGAATAGAAAACAAGTCTAATTAAAGATAATATACCCTCAGGTAAATATTTCCAGTCTGCTCAGACACCAAAACTCCATAACCTTTTTTTGCCTGTCCATAAGAATATAAAATTATTTTAATATTCTTCAGTAAAAATCAAAAGAACAATAGAAAGCATAAAAGTTACCAAATTTCTTTCTTTATGTATTTGACTTCCATGATCATTTGCAGATTGAAGAGCTGGTTCAGTCTGAGTCATCCTCACAGGGTTCCTTCTTGGTTTTTTCCTACCAGATTGTGGAGCTGGTGGAGGATTCTCAGCTGCAGTGGCATGTGACACTACACTTTTTTTCTTCCTTTGAGCCTGTATATAAAAAAAAAAAGATTATAAAAAGAAATTCACTAATGAATTTTGAATAAATATTTAAAATTTGAATTAATTTTACCTTTTTTGGGTTCTCAACCAGGGCATTAGTACATGACTTCCTATTATGACCAGTTTTGAAGCAATTTTAGCAAATCATTTGCAATCCAAACCTTTTTAGCTTTGTGCTACTCTTTGCTTCCTCCTCAAGTGCCCTTTTTCTTGAATTTTTCTTTGGTCTCTCAGGCATCCTTCTTAGAGAAGGTGATTTGATTGGATAACCAACTGCTTCAGGTCACATTTTCTTACCATTGAGAGGCTCAAGTCCTTTTGAATAGGCAGCAATATACCTCTCAACATAGTAATAAGGATGCACATAGTCTATGAATTCATGCTTCATCCAGTGTATTGCTGCACATGCATGAACACAAGGGATCCCACTAACATCCTAAGATCTGCATGTGCATGTCATCTCTCTCAAAGAGACAACAAACTGATCTTCTAACAACTGAACTTGGATTTTTTCTCCTAAGGCTGGCTTGGTAATACAAAGCCTACTCTTATACTTATTATCCTCAACCTTAACTCTAATTCTAGGACATATCTTATTAGTGATGCCACAAATTAACTTAAGTTTTTTATGCTGCCTCTCCATGACATAACTTCTAATGCTTTGTAACATCTGCACAATGGGTTCCTTTATAGCCTTCACAATGGTGCTATTGGATGTTTCACAAACATTATTCAAAATCATATCACATTTAGGAGATTGCGAAATAAAACACTTACAGAACCTAAAAGTCTCCTTTTCAAAGAAGTCCTTGAAGGCACTCTCATCTACTGCCTTCAAATCCTCAAGTGCTTCCTTGTATTCAGCCTCATATGTCCTATGCACAAGCTTCCAAAAACAGTTCTTCAAAGTCTGGCCTTTATTAGCTTTCTTCCAGTTCATGTACACATGCCTAGCACAATTCCTGTGCTCAGCATGTGGTGCATATTTCTTGACAGCATTCATAAGACACTGCAATATCAATATAAAACAAGAGGACAACATTTGAATAAACAAAATAGCATATATGCAGAATGTTAATTAAATGAATATTGACAGTATTTAAAGCAATTTTCTAACCTTTTGTTGATCACTAATGAAGGTCCATCCCAACCATCTCTTATTTGCAGCTCTGGCAGAAGTTTCTCCAAGAACCAAGACCAAGTAAATTCATTCTCCATGGAGGTAACTCCCCAGGCAATTGGGTATATTTGATTATTACCATCCTTGCCAACTGCACACAACAAGACACCTCCTAAACTTGTCTTCAAGAAGCAGCCATCCAGTCCAATCACTGGTCTGCATCCTTGTAAAAAACCATCCCTCAATGCACTAAACCCAATATACATGGCTTTGAACATGCTGCCCTCTTCAAAAAGAACTTCAAACTTCCCAGCCCTATCAACTCTCATCAACTCAGCTATGTAGCTTCTTAAACATTTATAGTGTTCTTCTTCAGATCCTCTAATCATGTTCAGTGACTTCTTCTTTGCTCTATACAACTTCCATTTTGAAGGTTGAACAACATACTTGTCAAGTATGTACTCCTCTAACTCTGCAACCTTCATTCTTGGCTTCTTTCTAAATCTGTTGGTACATTCTTTGGCAATCCACCTAGCATTGGCTTGTCTTGTTCTCATGTCCCTGGTACAAGTGTGCTTTGAAATAAGAGTCTTTACAGCAACTCTTCCTTCAACCTTGATTTCACTAGCATATAGGACAACCCTCAATGCACTTGGCTTCAACCTGATGATGATTAACTCTCCAAAACTGGATATTACACCCATTATACACAGCATAACTCTGAATGGCCTCTTTACATTGAGTAATGTTCTGAAATCTCATTCCAAGCTCAAATGTCAATGCCTTGTGATCACAGTTTGGGTCATACACCACCATTTTCATCTTTTTCCTTCTTTTTCTATCTTCAGTATCCTCACTAACATCATCTGACAATGATGTTTGTGAGTCAATCTCATCCGAGTCTCCATATTCTGATGCATCCTCTCTGCATGGTTCACTTTCATCACCATTAGTGGGTATTGAAAACTCTGGATCACTTCGAGAGTTAGCTTGTGTGTTGTTGTTCATTTCCTTGGCACCTAAGAACCTTTTTTTCCTTGCTAAAAGGTACTCCTCCTCATCAGTTCCCAAGTCAGCCTCAGAAAGTCCATCATCGGTAGAGCTGCAATCTGATGGGCTATAATCATCATCTACATCATCAACAACATCATCATGGGTATTCATACGAGGTTGAACATTGGTTCCTTCTTTTTCACCACCATCACCACCTTCAACTGCATTTTCAACAGCATCACTACCTTCAATTGCCTTTTCAACAGCATCACCACCTTTACTTGCTTCATTGATCTTATTCTGCCCTTTTTTCCCACCATCAACAAAAACATGAGCATAAAATTTATTGGGTTCCAAACTCCCAATCATATCCATCAAAGTAGCATCATTGTGGATATTTATGTAACTAACCAATCCCATTTCCCCGCGGATCTTGTAATACAATTTGCCAACCTCAGTGTAACCAAGTTTTTCAATTTCATCTACTAAATCCAAATACCCAAACCTGTCAAGATCAATACCATGCATGATATGAACGTCTCCTCCAAAATACTTCCATCGTATTATCCAACATAACAAAACTCCCACCGTGATTAAAAAAGATTGATAAATTTTTGCTGAAAAACAGAATTAACGAAATTTATCTCAGAAATCAGAAAGGTACTCCACATACCCCACATATATATAAACCCTAATCTATCTATTTTGAATAAATAAAACATAATGCACTAATATTCAGCAAATAAAGAAAAAAAAGAAGAAGAGTTATTTCATACTTGTCTGCTATCTTCAATGGGGATCTGCCGAGAATTTTTAGGGTTCTTCGATGGGGTCTTCAAAAATTTCAAGCTTTCTTCACAAAATGCGGATTTGCCGAGAATTTGTACGGTTCTTCAATGGCTTTTGGATTTGTCGACGTAAATTTTGGGATTTTTGTCGAAGAAAGAATGAAAAGAACTTAGGGATTTTGGATTTCGATTTTGATTTAGGGTTAGGATTTTAGAATCTGTTTTTGATTTATTATGTAATAAATGAAAATTTTCAGGTACTTATACATATCAGTGCCACGTTGTCGTTCGATCTGGCGTGTAATTTAGGCCTGAGGAATATAATCCACGTCAGTTGCCACGTTGGATTAAGTTGCCGGACAGGATGGCATCAGTCGGCCGACGAGTTGGTCAATGCCTGGTCTTGCAAAAACTCAAAGGTTGGATATCGAAGTGCCAAAGTTCAAAAGTCGTGACAGAAGTATAAAAGTCGATAAAGTCACGATGTGAGGTGCAATTTTGGCTTATATTTATCACTGCAATCTATCCACCAGGCATCACAATCCTATCAAAAAATAAATAAATAAATAAATAAAAAAAATGAAAAACAAACAGGCCAAATAGCTTCTTCATTCACGAATTTATAAATTCATTTACTAATTACCGCACCTAAATTCCTTTTACCGCACCCACAAATTCCTCT